GTCAGCGGGGCGAACGCCCCCCGGCTCGTTGTCACACTGACCCCGACGATCCGGGACAGACGCGCTGCCCCGCCGGCCTCCACCAGGACGCACTGGCCGGGCCGGGCGGCGCCGGCATAGGCGGCCCGCAGCTGGCTGGCCGCCGGCGCCGCACCCTCGGAGCAGTTCCTACCTGACAAGAACAGCAGGTGGGCGGCAGTGAGGGCGAGTCGTTGCCCGGCCGCAGTCTGCAGGCTAACAAAGAGCCGCGGCGTGTCCGGGTCCCGGTCCAGGAAGGTCATGACCTCGCTGAAGACCAGGCCGCTGTTCACCAAGGCCAGGACCCGGTCCCCGGGCTGCAGCGCTCTCATGGACCTCCGGGTGCCGCCCTCCAACATCACCGAGGCGTTTCCAGGGAAACAGCCGCCTGCCTTGGCCGCCATGGAGTGATCTGAGGACGGACAGAGAGACGGAGGCAGACTGTGAGGACAAGACGTCTTCTGATCAATAACTGTTCAGATATGATAGAAATCATCCTACTGGACCCAATAACTGATCTATAAATATTAATAAATGTCTCCATTTCCTCCAATTGGTGATTTTACAACCAGAACAGGAAACACTGAATATCATAACAGGAAATTATGTTTATAACCCAAATCAGGAAATATTGGTAATATTAGCTGATTATATGTTGGTGATTTTCTCATTTTCACCTGAACTTCAGAAATAATATGAAATCATTTAACAAGAAGCAAAAAGATTAATCTGAAGCTAATGCTAACCCAGCTAATGCTAACCAAGCTAATGCTAATTAAGCTGATGCTAACCCAGCTAATGCTAACTAGCTGAAACAGTTCAGCTGAATCAGTATATTCAAAGCAAAGTGGATCAATGATCCAGATTCAACCAGTTCAGAACCAGAGCTCCCATCATATGGTCTCCATGGCAACTCAAACTTCATCGTTGCTCAAAGTCCTTCATTATGAGGGAGGGACGGCCCATCTGACCCAACCATGATGCTGCCACAGACCAGTGAATGCACCACCGAATGGACCAGTGGCCAGTGAACGCATCGTCCTGCTGCTTGTTTTGAACTTGGCACAGAGGAAACCTTTAATGGCCGACAGAGTCATGGATTTTAGTTTAACCTTCAAACTTCCTCTGGTCTCCCAGCAACCAGCACAGCCAAGCCTTCAGGTACAATTTGGAGGTGTTTGTGCTTCTGGAAGTGACTGTTCTCGTAAGGCCCTGAATGTCTCACTGCTGCCTTCAGGTGACATTGGCTCGGCTAAATCCAGAGAACAACATGGCCTAATCCAGACTGGTGTGGTCCAGTCCAGAACCAACAACCAGAACCGGAAACCAGAAAAAATTTAAAACTTCTGAAACAAAAATTTGCAAAAGCTAAACTAAGCAGCCAGAGAGAGCAGTTTATTATCATTAATATCATTATTGTCGTTAGTACAGTATATATACAGTTTTATCTCAGCCTCCTTGTTCAGATTTATCCAGACTCCTTCAGGTTTTTTCTCCTGATCTAAATCAGTCTTGGTGCTTTGTCGCCCTCTGGTGGTGAGGTCATGTAAGTCACTGACCTCGTTTTAAAGGGAAAACGGAATGAAAATGAAAGATACCAACTTGATAGTTTCCCTTGTGATCAGGTCAGGGACTGGGCCCTCGCCACCCGCTCTGGGGGAGAAACAGGAGGAAGAGGAGGGAGAGAGAAAGAGGAGGGAGTAGGAGGGAGAAGAAGGAAATGTCTGTTACCATCAGAGGAAAAACTGGCTGACTTTACGTTTCCTGAATGGGCGGGTAGAGTTTAGGCTGGAGGGATTACTTCCTGCTGGAGGGATTACTTCCTGCTGGAGGGATTACTTCCTGCTGCAGGGATTACTTCCCGCTGGAGGGATTCCTTCCCGCTGGAGGGATTACTTCCCGCTGCAGGGATTACTTCCCGCTGCAGGGATTACTTCCTGCTGGAGGGATTACTTCCTGCTGCATCAGTTCCTGAAACTGGGTGAGTTTCTCAGTAAAAACCTAAAGATAAACCTGAGTTGTTTCCACAGGACCGAACCAACAGGACCGACCCAACAGAACTGACCCGTCCTCCACCCAGAAACTCCCTCATGTTTCCCAGGACGTCTCCATTCAGAAACCAGATCAGCCGAAGGCGGGTCAGCGCATCACTGTGAGGTCTCAGTGAGGTCACAGTGAGGTCACAATGAGGTCACCGTGAGGTCTCAGTGGGGTCACAATAGGGTCATGGCAGGGTCACAGTGGGGTCATACTGGGGTCACGGCGGTGGCCCACCTGACTTGACGCTGCAGTGGACGTGCGCCCGGGACTCGTAGTGGACCCAATCGAAGCCGGCCTCCACCGCCAGCCGGGCCAGCATGGCGTACTTGTGGCGGTCACGGTCGGACGTAGTAACGTCAACGGCCCGGCCCTCGTAGTGCAGCGAGCTGGACGAGTGGTGGCCGTCCTCGTCCCAGCCCTCGGTGACCCGCAGCCGGACCCCGGGCCAGTGGTTCATCACCGAGATGGCCAGAGAGTTCAGCTTGTCCTTGCAGCGCTGCAGAGCAGAGAGACGGAGCATTTAGCCAGGCGCTAACAGGTTAGAGGTTAAAGATAAAGGGTGAGGATGAGGCGTCTCGACTTATGGAAACATCAGATTCTGACATTTTGTTCTCAAAGTTCTGATTTAGATCAGAGATAAAAGATGGACTGTTCCTTTAAACTGAGGGTGATGATGATGATGATAATGGACTCCACCTGATTGGTTCTCTTTAACGAGAAAACTTCAGTTTATAATTTCAGTTTATAATAACAATAATCACTTTTCACATTTCATCTGATGTCATATTTAAAGAGTAACCACCTGATGGTCACCCTGGTAACCACCTGTTGGTCACCCTGGTAACCGCCTGTTGGCCGCCCTGGTAACCGCCTGATGAACAGCAGGGCTCGAGTAAAGCAGGTTTGGACTATACCATTCCTGATGAGTTTATTTCAGATGATTTTCGTTGAAACAGAAACAATCCCATAATAATCACCTGCTGCTCTGACCTGGTTACCATGGAAACACTGTTAACGGAAAGGTCTTTCATTCATCACCCTGAAGCTAAACTTTGATTCTCTGATTTGTTCTCAGGTGTAGTTTATCCAGATCAGCAAATCTATAGAGCTGCAGCTAGGAGTGGTGTTACGGGGGCCCATCGGGGACCCTGGGGGCCATCAAACCTCAGAGCCAGGCCTGTTCAGCAAACTGACTGTGAGTGATTAACTGATGACGTCATTACACTGATACATTTGATCAGAAATCTGAATAGAAAAAAAAATTTATTAAAAATTTTTGTTGGATTTTATTGAGTTTTTATTTGTTTCCTTTATTGAATTTTTTTCTTCCTTAGTTTTTTTTTACATGTTATATTACGTTTAAATAAAGTCAATTTAACAAACTTCTTTTGATTATAGAAACAAGGTAACATGTTTTAAAGTTTTTCTGTTTTCAGTGTTTCTAAACATTTGAGGTTTGCATGATGTGTTTTCGGTCCCGCAGCATCTAATTAATGCGGTTCTGCTGATAAACTCGAGCCGTGTCCGTGAGGCGTCCCTCAGCGTCCCTCGTTCGGGCATCGGACCGCATGAAACCCTATAAAAGTCTCTTCCAGGCTGCCGGGAGAGAACAGCTGCGGCTGCGCTGCTCTGGAGGTTCTGGCGCACCAATTGCGCCACTTCCGCATAAACACACGCAGAGAAGGAGAAGGAGAAAAGATTAAATGTTTAAATAATCTGAAAGAGACGCGCTTTGTCCAACAGGACCAGAAATGAAACAAATTTAACAGAAAGTTTTTCATTTCCGTTACAAATATAATCAAATCAGCTGAACAGTTTTTACAGTGAGGCGCCCAGGAACGGATCAGCTAAATGCATCAGAGGGGCCACAATGAAGGCCGGGGCCAGGAACAGGCTGTTTTCACCAACACACACCGGAGGAGCAGCGGGACAAACGGGACGCTGTCTGCGGACCGGAGGGTTCAGTCTGCATTCATCAATCTGACTGAAACAAATTCATTTGATTTAAAATCGGATTTATCTAATCGATAACAAAACAAGTTTCAAAGAAAACTCTGTGACTTTAAAATCGGATCGAATCGAATCAGTTCAATCGGATCAATCGGTTCAGTCTTTGATCTACAGCTGCAGCCTCCCCCGCGTGGGTTTGTGGATATCCGGCAGTGGCCACCGAAAGTTGATATTATTAACGGGTTTTCCAGCGGAAGTTGGCAGCCCAATAAATCCCACGTCAATGCTAACGTCATAAACATCGCGGGAGGTAGGCCCACCGGCGGCTGCTGCGGCTGAGGGCGGGAACGCGCGTGACCAGGTGATCCACCTGAACAAGCTGCTGCTGCGTAGACTACCACACTACCAGACCCACTCTGCTACCCACGAGCTACCGAATGTCTGCGGACTTCGACTAGGCCGAACCTGCGTCATGAGGCGGTCCGCCCCGGTGTTCTCCTCGTCCTTGAAGATGATGTCCGGGTTGTAGTTGGGGCTCAGCTCCTTGAAGCGCTCCGAGCCGCGGCTGATCTTCCCCTCCGCCTTGCCGCTGGCGCCCAGGGTCTGCTCCGCCACGTTGGGGCTGAACTGCTTCAGGACCAGTGGCACCAGCTTCCGGGGGCCCCGCCGCCGGCCGTGGCCCTTCCCCGGCCCGCAGGCCAGGCCGGCCGGCGGCAGCAGCAGCGCGCAGCCCGCCAGACAGGCCAGCAGCGCGGGGAGCCGCATCCCGCCGAAGAGACTGCTTCAGCTCCGCCCGGCGTCCCGCTGCGCTGTCAGACTGGAGGTGCCGTGGAGGAACTCATGGCGCCCCGAGGGGGAGCAGCGGGGACCAGTAGGAACCAGTCAGGATCAGAGAGACCACTAAGGACCAGTGGAAACCTGTGGAGACCAGCAGCGGGGACCGGAGAGCCGCTCGGTGCGTAAAGGTGTCCAATGCGCCGCAGCGCAGCCAGAGGCAGCAACAGGTGAGGGCGGGCTGAAAGCTGCGGCCGCGGAGCCGCGGCGCGCCGCCGCCTGTCCGGCCGGCAGGTAGAGAGTCCCGCAGCAGACGGTGAGTCCCGCAGCGCGGCGGGTCTTCGGGTCTCCTGGTGCCCCAGCTGCTGCGGCTCAGTGGGAATGGAGAGCTGCCGCTGCGCTGCGGGCCAAATGAGGAGGAGGACCGCGCCCTGCGGGACCTGCGGGACCGGCCCTCTGCCCGCCGACCACTCCCCCTGCCCCCGCCTGGCAGCGCACGCACTGAACCAGGTGACCCGGCTGGTAAATAATTATAATCCATGATAATAATTCATGTTTCTGTTTGTATCCTAAACTCTAGAAGTGGAACATAGATCAGATTTCCAGATGTTGATCTAGAAATGTTTTCTATCCTTCCGCTGGGCACCCTGGGCAGAGAGCCACGATCTGATGCTGGGCGCCTAAACTTTCCTCAGCATGCAGAAACTTAATGAAGACTTCATTTCCCAGAATACCCTGCGTCAGTGAGGAAGAGGAGGACAAAGAGGCGCTGACGATGTAAACTTTATTGATACAAAGATAAAATTGAAAAATCTGATAAAACTTCAGAAGCTTAAAACTCTCTGAGCCAATCAGATGCTGCGACCGAGTCACTTCCTGTCTGTCATCGGAACAGGCCCACTTTCTTCTTCTTTGGTTTGGAGGACTGTCGCTCTGCAGGGCGAGTCGCGCCGACAGCCGGAGCCTGAAGAACAGAAACGTGCTTTCAGACACATTCAAACTTTTCAGAACTTTTTCTTCAGAATAAAACGAGTTTATGGATTTTATCAGCAGCTTTTCAGAATTTCACACCAAATACATCTGAAAAGTGTGGCCTGCTGCTGCTGTTGGCAGGTTTGAATGTTTCAGCTTCAGTCGGATGGAAGAAAAATGTCTGGGATTGTCTGCTGTGTTTCTTCCTGTTCTCAGTTCTCCTGAAGCTGGATGAGATGCAGACGTACCCTGACCTGCGCCGCACCACCGGGTCCAACTGGGGTGCCGGGGTTCTGATCAACCGGGCCGCTGGGGTTCTGGTTCTCTGGGTCGCCTCCATCAGGTCCAATCACTGGCAGGCAGATAAAACAGGAAGTGTTTAATTAGAGACGCTCTCATTGACTTACTGGTTCAAATACAGCTTTCACACATTTAGACTCGATTTAATCTGATATGATCAGATGATCATCAGCAAACTGAGTTTCTGTCCATGTAGCCTGATGTCTGCTGCTTGTTCCTCCAGTCGGTCTGTTTCTGGTTCTGGTTCAGACTCACCTGTAGTCTGTGCTGGTGGTTCTGGTTCTGGTGGTTCTGTCCGGTCTGGGTCACCATGGGTCTCCTGGGGTCGTCTGCGTTTGTGCAGTGCGGCGCGGCGAGCTGTGACGGCGGAGTAGAGCTGCTGTAGGTCGGCGTTGAATCCCGGAGTGTCGGACGGATCCGACCTCAGCACAGGAAGGTTCTGGAGAGAAGCCGAGTCCGGATCAGCAAGGATCCAGAACCTTCAGAGTTTTTAATAGAGTCAAAGGAAAATTTCTCACCAAAAACTGGAACTACTCATGAGGCTGAACATTTCTGTTTGAGGTTTTAATGATGAATCTTTTTAAAAACTTTGTTTTTTATTATTTTTTTTACATTTATAATCCCCATATTTATGTCTTTATAAATCTGCAGTTCGGTTCCTTCCTGGGATCGGACCCAGAATCCTGCAGCACCTCTGAGGCATGACACAGGAAGTAATGTCATCAGCCTCTCATCACAGGTCAGGATGCGACCAGCAGCAGGAAGTGATGCGGCGAGCTCCTGCGGCGTTTAGCCGCTGCTATTTTCTCTGCTAAGGAGACAAACTGTCAGAATTAGCTGGGTAAATATTGACCCCCTCCTCCCCCGGGTCAGTGGGGGGTTAGGGTGGGGGCAATGGGGGATTGGGTGGGGTAAGGGGGCAGTGGGGGATAGGGTTGGGTAAGGGGGTTGCTCTCTGCGGTCAGACTCCAGGTTGCTCATTGATTTATTTTTGTTATGTGTTGGTTTAAATATCGTAAAAATAAATGTGGCTGCGGCGCGTCGCACAGAGGAGCCAATGTGGCAGAAAGCAGCAGAAAGCCCCCCTTATTCTGCCCTAATGCCCCTCGGGGGTCTGGCTGCACACCGCCTCACTTCACCTGAACCGGCGGCGCTAAAATCTCCATGGAGCTCTCCTGACCCGTACGGAAGCCCATTAGTGCCACTGGCAGGATATATGAGCTTCTGGCCTATTTAAAGCCCTGGATTCATCTAGAAGTCTGACTCCTCTGGTCTGTCTGATCTGCTGGGGATCCAGAGTGCATTCCTGTTTCTTTACAGCAGAAATCATGTTAACTAAACAAACAGCAAACAGTTTCACTTCCTGGTTCACCAACAGGGTCACCTGCAGTGACTTTGAGCTGTCAGCAGGGGCAGCACTCTGACGGTTGGTCAGGCTCTCCTGCGTTGCCATTGATCCCAATTTACCTTTAGCCCTAAACCCTCTGTGAGCCAGCTGACCCGAACCCAAATGACCAGGAAGGAGTCCTTGGTCAGCTGTTGCTACGGCAATGTCTGAAAGCAGAGATGATAACCTGCAGGCATTTCTGCTGAGGTATCAGACGATGCTTCTGCTCCTAGCAGGAATAGGCTTCCATACCTGGCTGGAACGAACGAAGTGAGGAGCAGCTCACCTGGTGGCCACGCCCCCAGCGTTTTGTCTCGTTTTGGTTCCGTCTCACCATTCGGTCTCGTTGTTGTTCCGTCTTAAAGTTCTGTCTCGTTTTGGTTCCGTCTCAACGTTCAGTCTCGTTTCGGTTCCGTCTCACCGTTCTGTCTCGTTTCGGTTCCGTCTCACCGTTCTGTCTCGTTTCGGTTCCGTCTCAACGTTCGGTCTCGTTTCGGTTCCGTCTCAACGTTCGGTCTCGTTTTGGTTCCGTCTCAACGTTCGGTCTCGTTTTGGTTCCGTCTCAACGTTCTGTCTCGTTTTGGTTCCGTCTCAACGTTCTGTCTCGTTGTTGTTCCGTCTCAACGTTCGGTCTCGTTTCGGTTCCGTCTCACCGTTCAGTCTTGTTTCGGTTCCGTCTCAGCGTTCTGT